GGTCTGTTACACTTTGAAATAAACCTTATACCATCATTTGGTGGTATCATGCATTAGTCATTTGGAAAACATTGGCTCACTGAGTTTTGCAGATCTTATGAATTTTGACATAATACGTTATACAGTATTAAATCACATTTGTCGACATCACCACAATCTCATCAAAGCCTTTAAGAATTGAGAAGCTAATGAGTTCACAGTAGCAGATGCAAATTTTACAAAATTCCAATTTTCACTCAAAAGCTTGAGTTTTCTCATTGGCAACAAATTCTGTCAGTTATTTTCGTTGAATGACAAGCTAAGCTTTTTCTTTTTTTTCTTTTTTTTTTAAAGAAAATGTCTACTAAATAACAAAGTCTGAGTAACCGTTGTTCATCTGTCAATGATTCTTTCAAACAGAAATTATGTTCCATGGAAAAGGATTGATTCAGCTCACAAAATCACCATAGGAGTGATTTTCCTTGAGATGACCATTGCACTCCTGCACAGCTGAAGTGCTGGTTATGGACTTCTCATTTCATTACACAGATTATTCAAAAGATGTGCACCCTGGCCCAAGATTTAATGAAGTTAGTTGACAATTGTTACTGCTTCATTAAGAGGACAATCTGAAGTGTGCTAGAATTATAGGCATTCCAGAAGAAGAAGAGAGGGAGAAGATTACAAAGCCTGCTTGATACAGAGTAGTGCCACTGCCTTGATTCATGCTGAGGCACTACCCATTTTACTCACCAGTGCTTTTGCAAAACTAGTGCAAGTGTCAATCAGTAAAAAGGGCAAATAATGTCTTAATTTTATTATGAAAATAGTTTTGACCTCATGGACAACTAAAAGTATCTTTGGGACTCCCAGAGATTCCATGGAACACACCTTGAGAACTGCTGGTTTAAGTTCCAGCGTTTTTCTCAGCAACTTCATATTATGTGTTGGCTGGGGAGAATGGAGGGGAGATTAGGAGAAGCTTGTACATCAAAATCTCCAAGAAAACATTGACCTAACCCAATACTATTATTGTAAAGATGAATAAATGGAGGCACAGTGAGATTTGTTCTAAGTCCTTTAGCTTGATTGTGGTAGAGCCAGAATCCACTCTCATATCTTTTTACCCACACACAGTGAACATGTAAGCCTCTGTCAAGTCCGGTCTCACTCAACTCCTAAATTCTCTTATAAATATCTATCAGGCTCCTATTGAGTCCCAGCTACAATACTAGGTATTGAAATGTAACATCCAATGACATTTTCCTGCCCTTTGAGACTCTGTTGTCTAAGAAGCATGTGAACAGGTAAATCAAAGGTTATATGTGCAGCTAGAACAAAGGTAAATTTGAGAAGGCTCAGAAGCTCAGAACAGGGATGCCTGAATCTGACTGTGGCTCTGAACAACCACTGTTGGTGATTCTTAGGTTGAGCTGGGAAGAAGGAACAAAAGTTAGCCAGATAAGAGGGAGTGAGGACCCTTGCCATGGAGGGAGAAATCGTGGGAAAGTAGGGAGGAAGGAAATGTCATGGCCCATCTCAGGCACTTTAGGTTGAATGGATAGGGTAGATGGCTGGAAGTAGAGCAGGGAGGTACAGGTGGAAGACTATATGTGACAACCAAGAAGTCTGGATTTTATCTTGAAAGACTTGCGGAGCTGGAGAAACCCACTGGAGGACTGCCTAGAATGACCATCAGTGCTTCTAAATACCGGATGGTCATGACACCAGGACAGGCCCTTCAACTGTCAGGGCCTTCCCTTCCGCAACTACACCTTGAGTCGCACAGTAGCACACAAGTTTGTTACATGAATTGCCCACCTACCAGAAGGGAGATCTTGAAGGAACAATTGCCCATGGCTTGAAATTGATCTATTTTGTTGGCCTGAAACTTGCTACAAAGTGCTATTTATTTTTCTGGTGGGCTTTATGGCTCTACTCAAGACTCTTAGTAACCATTACATCAGTTTGGTAATGTTGAACAATGTAATAAGATCTATAATTTTTCATTTGTTGCTTTGCTAGATTAAATCTTAGAGGTGTTCTGAGCAGTGATTTTCAAACCTGGGGAGTCATGTGAGAGAGTGGTTGAAAAAATATAGATTTACAGACACCAGCCCCAGGGCCCAGGAATCTGTATGTTTATTTGGCTTCCCAAGCTATTTTGGAACAGGCAGCCTGGTATAGGTTTCCTGCCCAGATATTCTAGGTCTCACTAGTTGGAACTAACTAAAGGAGAGCATACATTTAATGGCTGACTGTTTCAGTTAAATACTAATTCGTCACATCTCCTGACTATGTGTATATATGACCATCTATGTGGTTGGCATTTTTCATGTCACATGCAATGCACTCCTCTTTCTGTGAGCTGGGAACATCTAACTCTTTCTTTTTCCCCCATATTTGATGCTTTTCTAACCCATAATCTCTTCAAAATGTTTTCCGATGATCATTTTTCTTTTCTTCCCTTCCTCTTACCACAGGCATGGTTATCTCATTAGAAAGATACCAGTTGGTTTGTTTTTTTAAATCTTGGTGAACATATTGTTCCAGTAAACAGTTTGAATAACTGTATATGCAAATGTGCACTGACTCTGTGGGAAGTGTCATATGCAAGATCATGGAGATCAATAAATAAGGCTGACAATCCCTGTGAAATCATAACAGTCTGGGCTTGTCTGGCATCCCAGAAATGTGCAACATGTATACAAACCAAATAAATATTTGACACTAAAGTACTACCAGTTCAGCTTATGGGGAAGAAGAAGCCACCAACCCCAAACAGGGATGAACATGTGCTCCTACCAGAGGCCTGGGGAATGCCACAGAGTTTGTTGTTTCCAAGGGTCCTGGAGATGAAATATTTCTGGGACGTTCAGGACGAATTACGACAACATATCCTGTTTAAACTTGGGCCTTGCCCATCATGTTTCTGTTTTGCTCCTAGACCCAGAAGCAAGGCATGCATTGTCACACAGGCCCTGGGGAGGTGAATGGAGGGTGCTGCCAACATGGTGAGGCCACCCCACTTAAGTGAGTGATGGTGGTTAACAGCATCACTCATCTGCCCTGTCCATAGTCAGCTTCTCTGAAAGGCTGCACCTGACGATGCTTAGAGACACCCCTGTACAGACATGGACCAAAGCAGGAACTCTTGCAGGTGGAGGGGAACTCGCAGAGGTTCTAGTTCAGTGATGTTCCACTGTGGGAGAAGAGCCCCCTAGGGCTGTTTGAGAATCCCCAGTGAATGTGTGTGGGAAGGGAAACATGGATTTAGAAGGAGGTTGAGGAACACTCATCCCACTGGCCACCTCCCTTATTTTACAGATAAGGACATCAAGACGGAGAGGGGGAAGTGATTTTCCCTCAAGCTCACTTGGGTCAGGAATAGACCTGAAACCACAGTCTCCTGACTGCCAGCTCTGGTCACCCCCAGCATACCACAACACCCCCATGTCCTCATCATTATTGCAGCTTCTCCTTGCCCATGTGTGTGCTCCTTGCTCTCTCTGAGCTCTTTTGTGTCAGTATCCTAGTTTATCCTCATTAATACTCCTGTCAGAAATGTGGGGACAGGCATTATTTCCCCATTTTATAGTGAGGAAGATGAATCCCAGAAAGATAAAGGAGTGTTTAGCCCAGAAAAAAATAAAGACTTAAGAGCGAATATACGGGGTGGAGAGGATCAGTGGGGGAAAAAGGGAGTCATCTGTAATATTTTCAACAATTAAGAATTTTTTAAAAAAAGTGTGAATATGGACCTTCAAATATTAGAGGGCTTAATATCTGGAGCTGGCAGCAGTCTGGTCTTGCATTTCCCCGGAGGACTGGAGCCAATCAGTGAAACTGCAGTGGCAAGTGCAGGTGTTATATGGGCATTGGAGCTCAGAGCTCAGATCTTTCTCTTGTTCTGGGTGATCCTAGAAAGATGCTTAACCTTTCTGAGCATTAATTTTCTCAACAGTAAAATGGATGATGAGAAATAATCTGTCATCTCTTTGGCCAAAGGAGATGCTCAACAAATAGAAGGTATTCTTAGGGCCCAGAAGTAGGGTTTAGTTCAACATAAAAAAGAACTTTCTATCAAAGAGAACAGTTTATAAATGGAATGTGCTGACTGACAGAGGACTGAGCTTCTTGTCACTGGAAGCATTCAAGAGGCAACTGGAAGACTAGCAGTCAGAGATAGTATAGGGTGAAAATTGGACAATTAAGAAAGTTTCAAACTCTCTCATTTCTGGGATTCCATGATGTGTTCTGGGATGAGCTCAAATATTCTGTCCTCTTTTCTATTCTTCATTCTCTCTGCTGCCTTGGAGCCTATTCCTTCTGTCCAGAATGTTCTCCTTTGCTTACCCATCCTTCAGTCTCAGTCAAACTTCCCATTTTCAGGGAAGCATTCCCTGCACAGCCTCCTTCCCTCTGAATTGACTGAATTGCTAACTACAGTTTAATGGTTCATACAAGGACCAAGCCAAGAGTTCAAGCTTTCTGACTACCAGTTTAAGGCTCTTTTCACCAGGTTTGGTTAGCTGTTGCAAGACCAAAGTCCATCAGTAACTCCTACAAACCAGCCAACCACATGGTAAAACTGAGATTCTCAAGCAGCGGCAATGCCTGCTTCAGAGAACAAGGCTCCATGACCACTGAGTTCCAAGTTCACTACCATGTATTAGGTTCTTAACATGTGCCAAGCACAGCACCACTTGCTGGAGGTTCAAAGATAAAAATAAGTCCCAATGCCCATGCCCAAGAAGCCCAGTTTAGGGGGTAAGACCAAGAATCTTAATCTAAGTTGGGGAAACACACAGCCTACTGTGGATATTTGAGAAGGGAGCTCTTGCCCAAATTGGGGTCCAGGGAAGGCTTCTTGTAGGAATTTACACCCATATACTCCACTGCCTTACATTCTTTATGATCAGAAGCATTCTTGCTATGTTATATCTTGCTGGGTCAGTGATGTATTCCTGGGGCAAAGCTCCAGTTGCTGGGTTTTTATTGCACCGTGATTTATCTTTTAGAGCTTCTGCTGGAGTGCAGGATGCCTTCATGATGTATACAGTGTATGACGACATCATTACCCTTAAGCTCATCCAAGAGGCCTGCAAGATTCTGGGTGAGTATGAAAAGGGCTTGTTTTGGTTTCCTAGGGTTGCTGTAAGAAAGTACAATCAGTTCTTATGAGTAGTTATGGTCTACAAAGTCTTCAGAATACTGAATTAGTAAGTACTGAGCCATTGCTCTTGGAGGAAATGTAGAGCTAGGATCCTGGGAACCTCTGGTCATACATTTTCATCAACTGATAAATATATGACCTTATTTTTTGTGTGTTTCTGTTTAAAGACGCCTTATTTAATATATATTGTTATTCATTAGCACTGGACTCACTCACAACCAACAGCACTGTAACTCATGCCTGAATGAAGTTTATCTAATGTATGTATTTTCTTTGTAAGACACGTCACAGTCTGCTCGCACTGAAGAACACTAGGCAGCACTTCAGCACTATGCTTGGGGGCATTTGAAACAGCAGAATCACCAACAAAAGGGATAAAAATGCAGGAACATAGCACTAAATAGATTGCAAAACAAGGTCACTTGTTTATAGTTTGAGAAATGAGACAAGAACATAGTGAATCACCTTGTTCTGCCTTAGCTAGAAATGTGTCTTGGACACCTCAAATTTTTCTCAGCTTTGTACATGTCCATAAATGACTATGACACTATGAGTATTGATTTTGGGGTTACAAGTACATTTTAGCAAGTAGGTAAATTTGCAAACCCAGAATCTGAAAATAATAAAGATCTACTGTACCACAAACTGGGTGGCTTAAAACTACAGAAATTTGTTATCTCATAGTTCAGGGCACCAGAAGTCCAAAATCAAGTTGCTAGCAGGGCTGTGCTCCCTCTGAAGGCTCTAGGGAAGGATGTTTCCTCTGTCAGGTTCTGGTGTTCCCAGGTTCTCCTTGTGCAGCACAACTCCAATCTCTGCTTCCATCTCCACATGGCCATCTTCTCCCTGTTTGTTCATGTTTGTATGTCCAAATTTCCCTCTTCTTATAAAGACCCCAGTTATCTTGGATTCCAAGCCCAAGCTAATTAAGTATGTCCTCATCTTAATTTGATTACATCTACAAAGACCCAATTTCCAAATAAGGTCACATTCATAGGTTCTGGGTGGTCATGAATTTTTGAGGGATACTATTTAACCCATTAAGGAGCTCATATATGATCCTTTCCATTTGAGCACACTGGGCTTCTTATAGACAACAGTTGTGAGCGTCACTGTGTTTCATCATCTGCACCATCACCACCATGTTTGGCCTTGATGTTGGCTTTGACAGGTGTAGCAACACCTTCTCAATGGACAGTCATGATTATGATTGGGTGTCAGGAGGAACAGCACTGAGAATCTTGTTATGCCAACCACACTCGTGTTTATTTAGAAATGGGCATGGTATGCTTTGTAGGGGGCAGAGGGCCCTTTTCCCCATCTGCTCAGTCATGGAATAGCTCATCTGCCTGGACACTAAAATGCCATTGAAAGGGCCATAATGGGGGGACCATGTATGGATGGTCCTACTTACAATGCACATGTAATACCAGAATGGTTTCTTCCACGGATGTGTCAGCAAAAGATGGCTTATTATATTCACTTGCTCACTTTCTAAGCTCTGAGAAAAAGAGGAACAGGACAAAGAGAATTTAGCTCTGCTTCTTTCTAGTTTAGTGACCCAGGATAAGTTATTTACTCTGAAAGTTTTTCATTGGTCAAATGAAAATAGTAAGAATAATATTTATGCTTTAGAGCTGTTTTGAGGATTAAATGAGATAGTGCATGTAAATATACCAAATGTGGCATCCGGCATATAATAAGCTCTGAGAAAAAGATTACCTTCCTTCCTTCCTTTCTATTAATTTTTTAGGGCAGCCACCACAAAGTATCACAAATCGGGTAGCTTCAAACAACAGAAATTTATTCTCTCAAAGTTGTGGGATCCAGAGGGACAAAATCAAGGTATCAGCAAGGTTAATTCCTTCTGGAGGCTCTGAGGGAAATGACTCTGTCCCAGGACTCTCCTGGCCACAGGTGGCTGCTGGCTGTTCCAGCTAGGTTATAGCTGCACCACTTCCATCTCTGCCTCATCCTTACCTAACCCTCTTCTCTGTGTGTCATCACACAGCTTTCTTATAAGAACACATCATTGGATTTAGGGCCCACTGTAATCCAGTCTGAGCTTATTTTCATTCAACTAGTTAGATCTGCAAAGACCCCAATTCCACATAAGGAGACATTTGGCAGTTACAGGGGCACATGGGTTTTGGGAGAACACTATTCAGCCCCGTACACCCTCCTTTCTTTTGTCCTTCCTTCTCACCAGCACTGAGCACACGATGAGCTGGGGCCTGGCGGGGGAGGAGGGGTGGGCCGCCTCCCTGTCCTAGGCTCCAGGGGACTGCATGCAGGAAGCAGAGGAAGACCTCTGGTACTTCCAGGCTCTTTGACAACATGCCTCTTTCAATCCCGGTTGAAATTCCCTTGTCCATTCCTCACGGACAGTGTGGCTTTGGGTCGTGATGAGATGGCATATAGGGATTATTGCAGGGGGGCACCGCGTTGGCATCCTTGCCTAGCACCTGAGACTCTGGGGAGAACTGTTGAAAGTTCGGGTTGGGCCTGAGAGAGCAGAGCCTCAAGCTGGTTCCTGTGCAGCCCAGAGAGGGTTAGGCAGCAGGGCTATGGTTTCCAGCTGGTTTTCACAATGTCTCTGAGGGCCAGCAAGTTGGCCTGCTGTCCTCAGGAGCAATTCCTGATGCAGTTACAGGATAAACAGCTAGCTCAAGCTAAGCCAGAATGAGGAAGGATGTGTAATGTGTCTGTATGGGGTGAGGCATAGAGCTTATTTCTCTTTCCTTTGAATCTCAGGAAAATCCTCTGATTGAAAAAAATTGTGCCAGAGTTGACCCATGCACCCGGATCCGCTAGAAAATAGGCTTTTCCTTTGATTTTCACACAGCAGTTTGACTGACATCTGTGTCTCTTATGTTCCTGGTCATCACCTGGTTGCTGAAAACCTTCTGGGCATCTGCCTCTGGGAGAAGTCCCAAGTCCTTGTACAGCCTGTAGGGGGAGGGCATTGAGGCTTAGGAAACTGGGCATGTGTGACCATAGATCCTCTCCAGCAAGGGGCGGTCCCCTGCTACCCTGAGGTTATCAGGCTATTCTGGTCTGTTTTGGAGCCACAGAGCCAAGCAGGGACCAGAGGTGCCAACTCGGGCTGGCAGGACGATGGTGATTGGAGCTATGAGAAACCTGGGGTACCAGCTGGTGATTAACTTCCAACCAGATGTGCATTAGGCCCTGGTCACTCAGCTCCTGCACTCCTGATAGAGCTGAGACAAGGCTGAATGTGAGACTGAGAATAAAACACATTTGTTCCTTCAGCTTCTGGAACTGAGGCTCCAAGAGCAGTGACATCTCTCAATGCTTTCTAAAGCTTGTGTGACCTTTGAGGGAGGACACAGTAGTTTGCAGTCAGGGCTCACATGGCCTCCAACAATCACAGGTTGCCATGCCTGTACCCACTCCTCCTTCCAAAGAGCCTCACAGAGAGAGTTTCCAGGAAAAAGTGGGCCAGAACCTAGGCAGTGTTCGTGGTACCTGTAAACCCCACCCCTTCCCTGCCAGCCTTTTGGGCAGGCTCCCAGACCCCTTTGTTACCCCTTTGGCTGATGCTGGGGGTAGAAAGTGGACTAGTGTGGAGCTGGGGCTGTCAAGCAACATGTGGAGTTGGGATTTTATGCAGGAGTCGGACCCAGTTGTGTGCTCTTTATAGCGCTGTGCTGCCCCCAGGTCTAAACTCAGTTCAGCTCCTAAGTAGCAGCCTTCCTGCTATAAACATAGTAGCGCCAGAGTGATACTTCTCAGCCCTGTAGTTTAACACACCTGCCAGGTATTTTGTGCTTTATTTTCTTAAGCATCACATTTTAAAACCTTTAGAATAGGCTATGATGTTAAATATGCTTTTTATAATCCAACAGGAAGATCCCTTGACCTCTCCCTTATTCTAACTTGCACTACCCCACCTGCACAAGGCCCAGACCCTGCCCCTCCCACCGGCAGTCCTGCAGGGATGGGCTCTAGTGAGAGCTGCTGGCCCACAGGTACATCTGAAGGCTGACAATTGCCTCTTTTCTTCCAGCGAAGTAGGAGGAGTATTCAGTTACTTTCCCTCCACAGAAAGAATACAAATCCTTAGGTGGGAATTCTATACTGAGAGGTGACTATTGAGACTTGACTGGAAAAGCTAGTTTTCAGAGTTTAAAAAATAAAAGAGCAATAAAACTTGGACCGTGTGGTGGAAACAAGTCCACCTTCAGTCTTTTCTTGATTTCATTTCAAAGAGTCCCAGCAGCTGGAGGCTATATGGCTACATCATGTCTCAGTTTGGTTCCAAGGCCTCTTGCTATTCGACTAGAATGAGTGTGATGGTTTGAATTCTGCTCTGTCATGCCAGCTGTGTGACCTTGGCCAGTGAGCCAATTTCACTGAGAGTTGATCTTCTCAAAAAGGAATAATACTTACCTGAGAGGGTCATGGGAAATAATGGATTAAATCAGGTAACAAATGAAAGGCATTTAGCAACATGCAGAACACATAGCAGGTGCTCAGCAAGTGTGAACCGAATGTTGGATCTGAAGGGGAGGAAAGAGCATTTCTATATTTTGTACTTCTGGCTCTTTTCCTTTAAAAGCAGAGACAAGTTTTGCTGTTCATCTTGAATTACAGTACTATAAAATAATGTTCTGAGCCCTCTGAGCAGTAGTTGGCAAACTACATACAGCCCATGGGCCAAACCTGGCTCCTGTCTGTTTTTGTAAATAAAGTTTTATTGGAACACAGCTACTCATATTGTCTGTGGCTGCTTTGCACTATAACAGCAGAGTTGAGTAGTAGTGACAGAGAACATATGACTGCAAAACTAAAAATATTTATTGCCTGCCCTTTACTGAAAATGTTTTGTCATCTTATGCTCTAGTCTAGAGAATGGATCTTTAACACAGATCTTCAAGATTTAAAAAATCTCATTTAGCCCTGGCCAGTGTGGCTCA